GGCCCGCCTCGCGCGCCCACTTCGCACGCGTCGCCGCGCTTTCACACCCGGCGCGTGCGGGCTCGCGCCCCCCTGACACGCAGCCTTCCCCGGCGTCATGGCCCAGGCCTGTGCACACATGCGTGCACACCTTTTCCCTGTGCATGCACACACATGCGTGCCCTTCCCTGGCACGTGTGCACACACATGCACGCCCTTCCCCTGTGTGCATGCACACATGTGCACACAAGTGCACGCCTTTCCCCTGTGCATGCACACGCATGTGCACACCCTTCCCTGGCACGTATGCACATCTGTGTATGTGCTTCCCCTCTGTGCATGCACGTGTGCACACCCTTCCCTGGCATGCATGCACACAAGCGCGTGCCTTTCCCTTGTGTGCACGCATGCCAGGGACAGACGCACACGTGTGTGCATGCACATGTGCATGCCCTTCCATCTGTGTGCACACACACACGTGCACACCCTTCCCTGGCATGCATGTGCACAAGTGCATGCCTGTTGCTGGTATCTGCGCACATATGTGCACGCCCTTCCCCTGTGTGCACGCTCACGTGTGCATGCCCTTCCCTGGCATGTGTGCATGCCCTTCCTTGGTGTGCAAGCACACATGTGCATGCCTTTCCCCTGTGCATGTGTGGACATATGTGTGTGCCCTTCCCCTGTGTGCATGCACACAAGTGCACCCCTTTCCCTTGTGCATGCACACGCATGCACACCCTTCCCTGGCATGTGTGCATGGCCTTCCCCGTGTGCATGCACACGCATGTGCTCTCCTTTCCCTGGCACGCATGCATATGCGCGCACACCCTTCCCCAGCGTGAACGCACACGTGCACGTCCTTCCTGACGTGTGGGCACGGCCCTTCCCCTGCCTTTGCACGCCCTCTCCTGCACACGCATCTGCACGTCCCCCCCAAACGCATCCCCGCACCCACTCTCGCTCGTCCCCCGCTCGAGCAGCCCCTCTGCCCCGGCAGGTCCCACGGCCCCGACGCCAAGATCCTGGACCAGGGGCAGGGACAGCCCTGCGGGCAGCTGACGCTGAGCCACATGCTGCAGATCGCCACGCAGATCGCTTCGGGCATGGTCTACCTCGCCTCCCTCCACTTCGTCCACCGTGACTTGGCCACCCGCAACTGCCTGGTGGGCCACGACCTGGTGGTGAAGATCGGGGATTTCGGCATGTCCCGGGACATCTACAGCACCGACTATTACCGGGTGAGCGGGCTGGCGAGCTGCCCTCTCCCTCTGCGATGGGCTGGGGGGGGCCACGCTCAATTTTCCCTCTTAGCTGCTGCATCCCGACCCATCTCCATCTAGATTTAATCGTAGAATTATAGACTGGGTTGGGTTGAAGGGACCTTTCAAGGTCACCCAGTCCAGCCCCGCTGCCATGAGCACAGCTTCACCCAGGTCAGGTTGCTCAGAGCCCCGTCCAACTTGACCTTGAACGTCTCCAGGGATGGGGCATCCCCACCTCTCTGGGCAGCGTCTCAGCACCCTCAGCGTAACAAATTTCTTCCTTGTATCTAGTCTGAGGCGTGCTCAATGAGCAGGGTGAGGGCTGGGGGGGCAAAGGGGGGGGTCCCTGCCCCGCTGACGGCCCTGCTGCGGGCAGGTGGGGGGCAGGACCATGCTGCCCATCCGCTGGATGCCCCCCGAGAGCATCCTCTACCGTAAATTCACCACCGAGAGCGATATCTGGAGCTTCGGCGTGGTGCTCTGGGAGATCTTCACCTACGGGAAGCAGCCCTGGTACCAGCTCTCCAACACCGAGGTGAGCGAGCGGGGAGGATGAGGCTGGCGGCAGACCCTCATGGGGGTACCCGGCTGGGGGGGGGGGGCAGCCCTCCCCCCTCCCCGCTTTCCCCACGGCCTCTCTCG